TGCTCTAGAACATGATGTATAGCTTAATTAGCAGTTTGGCGGCCATTTTGGAAAAGGGGAGATAACTCACATGAAGCTGCCACCCCCACAATGCTATCACACGTTTTCTAACTTTAGGGGTGTATACCTTACCAAAAATCACTATAAGCATTCTCCCCCTGATTTGATACCGGTGACTAAAATTTTGGACCGGGGCTGATGGACTAGTAGTACCTTTCGCGTTTAATGTGTGTTGGTCATCGAAAATATAAATTGTAGTTTTACGGTTTATACATGCTCTTGAAATAAGTTTAGTGTTTTTGTTGATCGTTCGTCGACAGAGTGCAGTATCATATACAACCAATTTTACATTCATCCTAGAAATTTCAATAGCTCGATGTGTTTATCTTTATTACTAGCTTGAAACTTTATATTTTGTAAGAACATGGAAATGAACCATATAGATAGTGTCTACTTTTTACGTAAAAAACATTTCGACAGAAACGTCTTCGTGAATTGAGTTGAACGTCACGTGAACTTCGTGACCATTATCCTCATTTCACAAAGCTAGTAGCCGTTAGCAGAGCCCGCCAATTTGGAACATATTCGTGCAAACTCACGGTTCCGATGATGAATCCCGCAGTTGGGCTATAGAAATTGCAGTAATCGACTGAAGCCATTAGTGGCGCACCGATGACGAAAAAAAGGGTCCAGAATGCTTGCTCGCCGAATTCCTACGGAAATATAAAACAGCACAGCGTCAACGCCTATGTAATCTAGTCTACAGTAGATGAGAATCGCGACTAATTTCAATGGTTCCACATTAGAACGCTGGATTTGGCTTTTAAAGCGTTCAATTTGTGGGTTGGGGTGGTAGGTAGAAACTGCAAATCTAATAAAGATTTGGTAAACACACCCATCATGTTCTGCGAATGGCTATATCGAGCGCAAAAGACATACATAGGCCTACTATTTGTTTAGAAATATCATGGTACAAATTTGACATGCGCGACTCTATTGCTCATGGATGATGCGGCACACCACGTCTCTTACATATTGCCCCTGTAGTAAACACCGGACTTCCGCAGACAATTAGAATTAAATACACGTCAAATGATATACCTGCATAGATTATTATGGCTAACCTGGTTACATGGCATGCTTGTACATAAGTAGCAACACCGCCTTTTGATACGCACTCATATCATCAGATGAACTATATAATCGTGGACGCGAATTAAGAGCTAAGCAAATAAAACTCAAGTAGAGAAAACTGTGCGAAAACTCAAAAAAGGTAAACGCAAGAAATAACACAGAATGAAGTTTACTTTTATAAAGTTATGTGATTATGTTATTGTTATGTTATGTTTATGTTACTTAGATAAAGTTTATCTGCTTAAAGACTATACTAAACAAACTAAGTAACAATTATCCCCGTCTCTACCACGAGCGCGATTCTCAAACAAAAACTCGTGAGCGGGAACCGCGCACTCCTATTTAAGCTGCAATGCAAGCCAGCTACGAAAGTCCGCTCTACGTCACCAATGTCATGGAGACCATCAATTTACTTGCGAAATGTGGCGCAGAAATGCACCCCATCATACTTTCCATCGGGTGCGAAATTACGTGGAAATAGCAAGTCACCGAAGTTGTATCGTCCTATTTGAACCTACGCTCCTATCATAGCTCTGACTTGGTATCAGAACCAGATGTTTTGGCGTCAAGAATTGCATTGCAACTGGATAGATACATTTATTAGGCTTTGTTCAGAGGTTTGTGGGAGCCAACTCCTATTATTCATGAATCAAAAACGGAAAAAAATTCTCATTGCGCATTCGCGAGCAACATTTACTTTTAGTGATCATTAGCACTAAATAACTTGATTTAAGTGATGAATCTATTAGCATTTACAATTATAGACATTCGCAAAGAAACTAATGCCGCCACCACTAGAGAATAGTAATTAGTGGCACCATGCCCGATATTTCGCCATTCCAATGTCGTTAGTACAGCACGGACTATCTGGATGCAACCGTGTTAGTTTGCAACCTTGTAGAAAAATATTCCAGCGGGTTATACCGATGAAGAAGGATGTTAAAACCAGTGGCGTAGCCAGGATTTTTTAACAAGGGGGCCAAAACAGCGAACTGCGCAAAATAGTAGATGACTTAATATTTTAATGGTTCCTCCGCCTCCCTCTCCACATCCTACGTTCCCCCACCTCTCAGCTCTGCAATCTTTGTTTTGGGCGCCATGCAAAAAAGCGACATTTTTGTTCGTTGTTCTCTGCTCCCAAGATATGTATAACTGTTCAGTGGCGGATCCCGGATTCCAAGGAGGGGGTGAAAAACAGGCGGGGGTATGGGGGTCCTCCCCCACCGAAAATTTTGAAAATGTAGATAGCAGGAGATGGTATTTAAGGCACTTTTGAGTACATATAGAGCCTTCATTCTGACCACGACAATTCTTTTTTTAGTAGAACAATTCTTGCGCTTGCAGCGCGGCACTGATTGCTGTACAGGGGTGAGGGGGGGGACCACCGCTGGGATAAGGGCGCCAGCAACTCTTTCTTGGAATTATCAGATCCAGTTCCTCTGACTGCAAGTAGTTGCTAACAATTTTACACCTGCTTAGGATTGGACGCAGCGCTTCCATGTTGAGGACGAAGTGAAACGTTAACAGATTTTTCAGCAGCCCTTGTGCATCTGCTACTACCTTAGAACGGGTAGCTTTCCTGGCTATATTTCCTCTAGGGCCTCAAGGATCGCGTTCAGATTGACAGAAATCGAGTCAACCGCTTCAGCGCGACATGTCCATCTGGTTTCTGACAAGCTTTTTAGGGCCCACAAAGTGGATATCCAAGACACTTCAGACACTTCCTGGAGGCCCAATCGGCACGGTTTCATCCCTAAAAGCAAGGAGCCCATTCAGAAAGGTACTTTACATAACAGCAGAGGCTAAACCCGCAAGCGCAATTTTTTTGAAGACACTTTAAAGAGTACATGTGGGGTTACATGGGAAACCAATCGGTGTCTCTCAACAATCTCTGAATCTACAGCAGTTCCATAATACCAAAAAAAATGTAGGAAATCAGTAACTCGGCAGTTCGTTCCCGGCCTCATGTTCAAGCCTGGATCAACCCCAGTTCTCAGACTAAGCAAAGACTCCATAACGCATTTTTACTGCAAAATCGGCCACCCAAGAGACCATTGCTCTCTGAACAAAGCTTAACAGGCGTGCTAATATTGGCAAAAAGAGTTAGTGCCGGCTTCTTTCAAAAACGAGAAGGTGGACGACACGATTCCCACCAGCAAAAACCATTCTCCCCACCGATCCCGATGAAAACTAACAAAGCCCTGAAAAACATTCCACCTTAAATATGTGTCAAAGAAAGCACAGGTAAAAGCTGAAAACAAGTGGGACGGAGCGAAAATCCATCTTCTGACAAGCTGTATCGGTCCCTCCTGTCGTTGGTCCCCGCAACTCAAATAGTGATGGCAACACCGGCCGCAATCGTCAATATGGCGAAGACCAATCCTCTTCTCACCCCTTGGGACCACTTACCCTGGTCTTTTTCTACACCCCAAATCGGATTCTCAGGAAAAACAAAAAAGCCTGGCCATGCAAACATCTTCTGCCAGACAAGAATGGTGACAAGTAGCAGACCGAACTTTCCCAACAAAAATTTCTTCTTCCTGTGTTTTGATGGAATGAACCTAGTTCCAAAGAATAAAAGGTGGATCACGCCTACGTTTTTGGAGAGACAATTGCACTCTACGATTCTGTCCCCTTCGCATGGCATTAAAGTGAGGGAAAGTAAAAGTACCAGAACTAGATTGGTTGTGTTGACACGCTCAATCGAGAGAATTAAAGAACAGTGAGAGACGGCTCACCGGCGCGGAAGAAAACTGCGGCACCAGCTGCAGGGTAAAACCACAAAGCCACACAGATTCGCCTGAGGTCAGATGCGAGAAAGCTTTCCTTTTTAACAGGATCACATAGACAAACCCAGTCTGATCTATCTTCATTGTCAGCGACATTGGCAGATAAGCCCAGTGTAAAATGGAAAGAAAACTACATTGAGAACAGATTCTGGTATAATGCCAGAACTGATAGATGAAAACAAAATGCTACAGGGATTACATCGCAGGTAAAAGTGAAAAGAAAGGTGGCCAAGATCCTGACAGTGCCCAGCCAGGAAAGAAGCAAGATGGACACGCCTACTTTTTCCATGCTTTGTCCTATACTTGCATTGGAGGAAAGGGCTACCAGGCTGTAAGTGATTAATGCTAGAGGAATACAGATCAATGTCTTTATCATGTTGTTTGGGCATTCCATGTACCCAGAAATAGGAGGCCCCGTTATTCCCAGAAAGTGTGGACAACAAGGAACTAGAACTAGCAATTAGATTGACAATAAGGGAGAAAGTCGGCTGCCACCTATCGTATACAGATTGCCTCTGCCCAGAAGCCTTTTCTTATTAGGAATGCAGATTCCATACACGGACTGTGATACTGACCAGTGCTTTCGGGCAGGTAAAAGGGAAAGCAAAGTGCCTTTTCTAAAATTCATTCGACCATCACGAGGGAAAATTTTTAAAGAAATACATTTGCGGAGTTGGGCCAGGAATTGGACCCATTCTCCTCAGAACTGGATATTGAATCAAACTAGAACATGTTTCAACAATGTTCTTTCTCTATGGCCCAAGCGCAGAATTCACAAAGGTCAATAATATCAAAGAAGGTTACCCTTGTTCTGTGTCAAGAAAAGGTGCAGATAGAGAGTCATCCAGCTTCTACCGCTGCAGGGACCTCGCATTAGTCCAAACACCGCACAAAAAGGCAAACTACCAAGGCTGGAAATTGTGAGATCAGAACTAGATCGTTGAACAAGATCCAGCGTGGCGTTACAAGGTCCCCCTTTTGCAAAGAGGGTGGAATAATTGAAAATGGATGAACACGAGCAATCAATTCGGTAAGGTGGATTGGAATGGATGGTCCAGCCCAGCACCCCTGCGGCTAACATCCTCTGGCCCTACTCGGCCTGGCAATGCCCAAGGAAGTGGCTTTACCACTGCCAAGATTGTGTCTGTCTGGCAATAAATGGACCCTCAAAGTGCCCACTGATATGTGCAGACTGGTCAGACTGGCGATAATCCCGGCGGTCACCGCGCGAGATGGCAATGGGGGAAACAGCGACGGACCGAGTAAACGGAAACACATGTAAGATGAACGATGAACTCTGTGACGAGGTAATGATGCGTTATTAGACTCATTATGTACAATTTCACTGTAGTCCTTGGAACCACTTGTTTTTACAGCCGCCCACTGTGTCCCGCTGTGGAGAAGTTGCAATGTATTTTCTATCAATGAAAAGGCCCCTTCACTTTCGGTTCTAACCTTGTGACATAAAGAATCCTTGTGACTAGTCGTGGAATATAAATAGAACACAAATTAACTGTTCGTAAACTGCTAATATTAACGCAGCTATGAAAAGACAGCAATTTTGGCGGCCATCTCTGGACTTTACTTTTGCCAAATCAAAACGTGGTGGTTAATCGTTTTAGTTAAAGACAGGAAATGTGAAAACATCTACCGACCTCACATCATCCAGTGGGTCACAGAACACAAAAAATCAAGACTAATCCTCAGGTGCTTTCCTAAGAAACATGAATTGTATCAGCTTGTACATTAAGCTTTTGGCGGCCCCAATTGTTTTGGAAAAGGGG